GTATTCTCAAAAGCACGCGATCGGTCTTTCTGATAAAAAAAATTATAGTCAGTTTTTCAACATTCACTAACAAGATTTTACTAACTACCGTAGACAGTTTTTATATAAATCTTTAAAGCATAAGAATAAAGCGAGTGTGTTCTGCAGTAAACTTCACTTTTTATTCTCGTGTTTGTGTCATTTATTTGTGTTTTTCTTGCAAATGCTAGTTTGAACCCTGGTAGAGTTTGATTAAAAAATATTTTACTGCATATTTTCCCTTTCTTAATTCATTTACAGCGTCCCCCTTACAAATAAAATTGACGGGTCTTTCCGACTTTGGGTGGGTAGTTTTCAATTTGACACCCTGTAAGACTTCTATAGTTTGAACTGAGTTTATTTTTCCGAAAAGCAACTGAACCTGCAAAGGAACAACAAATATACATTCTTTACATTTCATATTCTTAATGGTTTGGAACAAGTTTCCTTCTGTACTAAACATATTTTGTTCTTCCTTTGCCGGTGGAACGATGCAGCTTTCGGTAAGTTCTAGAGCTTTCGGTGCCAAATTGTTGATTTATATTTTATGATATTCTTGCATATTTTATTCGACGAGGAACGACGAGGGTTTTTCATTTTCAAATTCTAAGTCAAATTTTAAAACTTCAAACAGTCTTTAAGACAATGTGCCACTTCATCCCCCTTCTAATTTAAGATAAAATTTAAGTCTCTAAGGGTGAGATCTACCCGTATTAGTGGGTTGAAACAAGGAATCTAAAAATATTTATTTAAATTGTCCCCCTTACATATAAAATTGACTTGTCTTTCCGATTTTTTATATTTTTAACTGCGAGAAAGATATTAACGGTGGGAAGTTTTCAAATTGAGACCCGGTATAGCACGACTATATACAGATAAAATCACAGATTTCAACAGCTCATAAAGAGCAAAATTCTAACAAGAATTGCAATTAGTGCTCTCAGGAAAACAATTACGTTATAATGGCCAATTCGACATCAAACATTGAGGAAGAAAATATTTGTAGTAGTATCGCCTAACAAGCAATTTTCCAGCAAGCTTTTTTGAATTGGGATCTAGTTATTTCTATTACGTATGTGAACTGAACAAGTAAGTCTTGCAACTGAACGTTACAAAATGAGTTTAAATACTTATTCTTTTTTCAAATAGCATCGTTTATTTTCACAAGACGATTAACAAATTAATATGAATGTGTTTCTTATTTTGTAAGTAATGTATGCAGTTGGATGTCTCGTTTTCAGGTCAATTTTCTGAGCTTAATTTTCGGTTTCGATTTAGAACCTCAAAATTGCGATTTTAAAGCTTAACAATTTTGTGCATTGTCTGATTCGACCAGGTTCCGACGAACAATACGTTGACTTTTTGAATATGCAATTTGCAGTTAATAAAAACTCTACGCCCAAATTTATCACAGTCACATGTTTTATTTGGCCCTTGCCTTCACTGTGAACTGTATTCTGAAAAGTTTGCAGATTATGTTTAGTCTATCGAACATGAATGCAAGACTAATTTCGACAAGATTGAGAATACGAGTACGTGAGGTAAAATAGTTAACGACTTGTCTTTAAAGTGTAATCAGACAACATAGAATGTAATTTCAATTACAGTTAGAGAACAATTTTCCACTCATAGAAGCACTTTAGACGCCATGATTTATTTGATAGAGATAACACTGAATCCAGACCAAAATGAGTCATTAGCGTATCAATGTATCAGGTGTATTCAGCTCTTTTCTTAAGGTAGGTGCAACTTATGTACAGGTCAGAGTAAAATGTGAAGGTACAAAACCTATTGAAGATACTGTTATGAGAAGCAGGTATACTGTGTGACTCAAAATTGTCGCCTAAATCTAAATCATAAATGAACAAAAATATTTTTGTGTAAATAAATCGGAAAAGGTAATTGGTAATTAAATTAAGGAATTTTCTGTTCTAATTAATCGTAAAAACCTGAAAATGTCTAAATAAAGTTTTCCATTGTGATTTCGTTCCGGCTTCATTTGAATCGTAATTTTTGCGCGTTAATAAAAGTAAATTGTGCTATAAGATGGACAGTACCAAAATTTTCTGATGGTGCCGATAGGGCCATGGATTCATCGTATTTCAATTTCAACAAACTTTATATAAAAAACTAAACATTCCTCAGATTCCATAAAAACCGGAAAAAGATAGAGGAGAAAAATAAATGTCACTATAATGAGTCAGAAAAAAAACAGAATATCTGTTAGACGATTATTACCGGATAAATTGAAAATTAGCATTTGAGGAAGAGTTGAACAGCCTGATCAAAATAAAAGTGACTAATTTGGAATTGATGACAATTGAGTAACGAGAAAATTTACCAGCCATCAAATCACCTAAGTACGCGAAACGACCACTGCAGAAATAAATATTGTGGTAACAGTAGACTCTTTTGTAACTCGCAAAATAGTTCTTTACACTAGTATTTTTCATTGAGTCTATTTTCAACTTTCAACAGAACCATTAAGTTTAATCTTTCTACTCTCAGTTTTTTCTTAATGACATACTTGATTTGATTAATCACATAAACTCATAAAAAAATAAGATTTTGCTGGCAGTTTATAATGACGTGAGTCACCGCCCCTTTTGAGAGAGTGCATTGAGTTGGCTAAAGCTAATGGTGCCACTATCTTAACATTTCCGCATCGCTGTAGACACAGGGTACAGCTGTTAGGTGTTTTTGCAGTAGATTTTTCAGTTAAGCTGGCTATAACAAAGACATTGGCTAATTTTTACTGTCATATGACGGAGGCTTATGTTATCAGTGACGCCAAATATCGCAATACTGGTCTGCAATTGAAAAAAATCGTTCTACGAAGAACTTCTGATTTAGCTAAGTTTTCCGTGATTACAAAAATGTTACTGAATAGAAATTAATGAAAGTGAATTAATAGAAAATTCCGTAAAACATTATTTTACATCCGCTGGTGTTTGAAAAGAAAATGTTAATTTTCTTTTTCAAATTAAAAATAACATTTTTTCCATTTTCCAGGATAGTATTACAGAAGATACTCTTGATTAGTGGTGGGACTTGTATGAAATGTGCCAAAACTAAAACCTATTCTGAAATTACTATGAATACTTAATTTCGATATGTACAAAATTTTCAAATTAATAATTTAATTTTTTAATGTATATATTTTTAATATTGAGGCAAAAGAAAATACGACTTTGATTAATCATAATTATGGATTTGAGTTATAAGGAATTCCTTTTCCTCACTGTATAAAGTTCGTAGCAAAAATTTCATAGTTGAAAGAGTAATTTAAAAACATATAGTTTGATTTTAAGCTAACAGCTAAATAGCTTAATGTGGATCCTTGAGCGAAATGACAAAAGTTCCGAATTTTCCTGAACGTTTTAAAGGGTTTTAACAAATGATTTACAGAACCTTACGCCTTTATAAATGATACTTTTACAGTGAATTACCGGAACGCTTTCATACAAATGCTCCATATAACGTATTTCTATTAAAGTTTTAAAGTGTTTGAACATGAATTTGCCATTTTCCAAATGGGGAACGAATGACGATACTGATGTATTTCATGAGCAAAATTTCCTTCATAGTTTGTCAACTAAATTAAAACTCTTATTGCGGAAGGTAACGTTTATGTGATCTGATTAGCAGTACGTTTATGGTGCTCTTATAGCCCCAAAATTGATTTTCGTTCACACTTTGTCATTAAATAATAAATAAATATACATATAAAAGCAACGCCATTTAAGGGTTAACTGAAGAGCGCTGGCAGAATTTGACCGAATTCATTTCATCCCAAACTTATGAAATCTATTTTGATTAGCCTGTACAACAAATAAAAAGTGGATTGATGAAATAATAACATAAGTTCCAATTTAAGTCTAACAAGAGTTTTAACTAAAAAGTAAACTTGCAAATTTTTCATCTGGACAACCGAAAAGACCTCAACAAGTTGGAAATTTTACCTAAGCAGACGCAGGAATCAGAAAAAATATAATCATATTTCTCCGCATCCGGTCAGTTTTATGTTTTCGTAGTTTCTTAGTACTGTGACATTGCAAACCAGAACTTATAAAATTTAACATATCTTTCCTAAAGATTTGTTTTTCGAACTGTAGTTGAAATAAAGAAGTTGTAAGAACCAAGGAACATAATGGTTTTAATTTGATCATGAATTAGCACATATAACAGCATTAAAAGATTTTGTGGCAACTTTGGATTTAGTATTATTAACACCAGTTAAACATAAAGTATCCGAATTTTATTACTAAATTTCAGTGTGAATGGTTCTCGATAAAAAAAAAATTAGAATACAGTTATATTTGTCTATTTGTAAATGGCTTAAAAAATATTTGTAACTAAGAGTAGATTTAACAGTTAATGGAAGTTTGTCATAAAAAACACTTGACAAGATTGAAATAGAATTATTTATTAAATTGATTAAAATAACGAAATAGAACAAAATGCGTTCCTGAATTAATGTTAAAAGGGGTTTTGTAAAGATCTAGGACTTAAAATGTTGTCAGGTATATTATTTATTTTGCTACTATTTAATGTAATTTGTAATCTTAGTGTTATATGGGAATACATAAAGTGTACATACATACCCAAATATGTAATTTTTCATCAATAAAATAAGTAGAAATCTAAGAACATGTGTTATTGTCGCAAAGTAAATAGTATACAACATTATTTGTGCTCTATTATTCGGTTAAAGAGCGGAAAATATTTTTGATAATGCTTTTATTTTGACACTGGTGGATTTTGGTTTAAAGTTAAAAATTATACTATAATTCACGGTAATTGCCTAATTAGTTAGAAATTCATATTCCCGAGCACTATACTAGTCACAATGTTTCTTATGATGATATGACTTTGTCAATTCTGATACTTTACAAAATTCATTTTTAAGTTTTCCGATCTAGTTTTTAATAGAGGGTACACTTGGACAGTTTGAAAAAGTAAATACAGATTCGAAAACTTACCCTAATTGCAGATCTTAAAGGGTTAATTCCCATCCAACCATCTGGCCGCGCGCTGACAATCAACGCAAACACACTTACGGAAAAGAAAGTTTGGATATTGAAAGCACCAGCGATAGTCATGTTAGGGAATTGAGTTGCAATCCTTAAGGGAAGCGTCGAAGTTCGGGATTCCGGGATGTTGAAGCGTCGATCGCGCGGCCAATGAACAAGTGGTTGAGGAGCTACGCGTTATATAGCTTCCAAAAAGGCGTCGAAGGGGTCTAACGGTTCTTGCGCTTCATCGTAGTTGGTTTTGCCTTTTGATCTTCCGTAAGTAGCTTATGCATTATGGCACTGAAAACAACTGACAAAAATATTGTTTTTACTAACAGGCCAAATAGTAGTGCAACAGCAGGCTTTCGAAGCGACGCTTCTATTTCAGTTAAAAGTCCAAACACTCCAAAATATGTTTGCTTTCACCTATGACCTAAAGAAACATTGCATCATCTGATCGAATTCCAGGTAATCGATTTATGCCCTCTCTCGCAAATATTTTTCTTTATTAATAACATTGAATTCAAATTGTTCCAAAATGATCAAAAACATGTTTCAATGGTTTCAATGGAGCTCATTTCAGAGTGAAAAACGCATAATATGCCCACTTTTTAAATGTTACATATCCAGTTGTCATAATTATCACAAATTTAATTTACCCGTACAACACAATTTGTGTGTTTTATCATGTAGTATAATCATGTTTGACAACGATTCAAATCATAATTAAGAAATTGCTCGACTGAATGTAAATTATCTCGCCTATTTAATCCCAACAAATATGGAAGAAGTTAAACTTGGCTAAAAGTAATTCGATATCTTTTAGCTGTTAATGATCGAAAATTTATTCTACGTAATAAGGCGGGTAAATTGGAAGTGAAAGGGTATTGATGTACGAGATTTGCCCATCAACACTTGATAACGTTATAAATAATTTTAAACTCAATTAACGAAAAAATATATTTCCAGCTTCTAAAAACGTCTGACGTCTGATTTAAATGCGATATGTAATTTACATATTAGGAATTGAAAATTAATTTACTGTGTACCACAGCAGTCTAGTAGTAGCACACAGTCTAGCCGAATCTCGGAAATAGGATATTAAAATGGACAATATGAAAAGAATTGAAGAAACACACTTAGCATACAGGTAAAGAGTTGACTAAAAGAACATTTTATGATCATAACAATTTATTATCCGGGTAGCACTTTGAAAGCGATTTAGCGGTGACTTGTTTAACGTTACAAATCTAAGTGTGGAATGGAACGTTTTGCAACTGTTGCCTCCTCATCGGGTTTATAACTCAGTTGCTATAGTGTCTCGCTGTGTGTTTTATATTTTGCTTTGACTAACCAGTTTTTTCCTTTTAATATTCTCCTAATTAATATTACTATAAGTAATATTGCCTGGCTATTGTTCCTCAAGACTTGTGCCATGATTCGTGTGTTTCACAGCTGGTCTATGCATTATGATCTGCAAGAATTATTGCGCTGCTTAAGACATACAGTTATCTTCTATAGCAGAATTAGGCAGTTCCGATTTTAAAATTGAATTTTACCTGAATTATTTTTGAAGGTTTAGACTCTTTCTGAAAATTTTCGAAATTATATTAATAAATTTAAACACGGAAGCAATCAGAACTTAACTAGCTAAATAAAATATATAAAATGTGTTAAAAAAATGTAAATATTGTCTAAAAGTTATAACTTGCAAGATACATATTGACTCCATTGATGGCCTACTAAATATTGAAAAGCTATTTTCAAAAATTATTGAAAAAGTCGAGTTTTTAAGTTGACGCAGGACTTTTTTCATCATGATCCAGCTTCTTCTCGTGTCTAATGCTGGATATAAGCCTCCTCCATACGCCGCCAAGAACTTCTTTGTTGCGCAAGTTGCATCCAGTTGTGTTCTATTAGCCGTATATCGTTTGCCCATGGCGACGGTAGTCTGCCCTGACTTCTTCTATCTTCACGCGGTCTTCATTCTTATAGTCTGTTGGTCTATCTATCATCTATCATCAGTGCTACATGGCCTGCAAATCTCTATTTTAGCTTCGTTAGTTTCTCTACGATGTCCACTATCTCCGTTCTTCTTCGAATTTCCGCGTTCTTTAAGCTTAATTCCTAATAATGATTTTTCCATTTTTTACCGTGATATCCTTAGCTTATATATGTTGTTTTTGGTGAGTGTTATTGTTTCGCATCCGTATGATATCAGTGGAAGCACCTATTGATCACCTTTCTGTTAAGGCTCATAGGAATTTTGCTATTAAATACGTTCTTCAATTTACCGTATGCAACCCAACCGAAACCGATCCTTCTTTGTCTCTCTCGTATGTGGTTGCCGCTAGTGATTTTTAATTCGTGAAAAATGTATCGATATTGTGTAACTTCACCTGTGATATTGTTTTCCAATTTTATTGATCTACCGACGACTTAGTTTGTCATTAAATTTGGTTTGCTTGGGTTTATCTGTAATCCCTCTTCTTTGTTTACTTGTACAAGTTCATTAAGCATTACTTAGGCTTGATGTATGTCATCGGCAATGACGACAATATCGTCGGCGAATCGAAGGTTGCTGAGCATTTTCCGTCAATGTTTATTTCTGCCTTACACCAGTTAGGTTCTTTAAACGGGTATTCAAGAACTGGCGTGAAGGGCTTTGGTGACATAGTGTCCCCTTGTCTCGCGTCTCTCTTCACTGAAATCAACAAGGACAAGATCCAGTGGTCGATGGTATTCTATGGTTTTCTGTATTAGGTTTTTTTAACGTTAGAAGGTGATCGTGTATGCCGAAACCTGAGATAAATCCCGCTCTATCGGTTGGTATAGGTTCAGTTTGTTGGCCAGTCTGTAAGTGATTATTTTGGAGAATAGCTTATACAGATGGGAGAGAAGGCTAATAGATCTTTAATTTTGGACTTCGGAATGGTCTCCTCTTTCATGGATTAATGTCATTAAAACGTTGTTCCATTCACTTTGGATTAGACACACATCAAATAGGTTTTGAACCATTCCAAGAATAAGTTCCCTCCCTTCTCAATAGCCTCTATCGCTATACACCCAGGCAGGACGGTATAGCAATAGAGGCTATTAAGAAGGGAGGCTTTTCCACTTTTCTTATTTTTGAGAGAATTTTAATTTCGTCTTTGGCAATCTGATATGTATGGCTTCTGAACTCTGGTTAACGTATATATAAATACCATATTAATTAATATTAATAGGATATGTATGTCTTCTGAACCCTATCTCGTTTTTGTCTCTCATCAGGTGTGTTATATGTTTTCAGTTCGCTTTTCCATAATTCTTGGTAGAATTCTTCAACTATTGCGATAATTTCAGTTCTGTTCGATGTTGTTTCGGCTTTTTTTATTTTAAATTCTACAATTTCTTTTTTGCCATTGTTTAACTTTCAAGCTTTTGTATTGTTCGAATGTTTGCTGTATGTGCTCTTTATTGTACCGTCTTATGTATTTCCCGATATTTTAGGAGATCTATTTGTTTATAGCTCTTATTTCTTGAGGTACTGGGTTATTGAGATTTAATTCTCTTCGTTATTCTATTAGTGCGTTTTTGTGGGCGGATTTTGTTCTCTTTTCATGTCTTCGGTAGAGCTCGTATGTTCTTTTATTCGTGCTTCTGTTATTGTTTTATTTAGCTTGTAGAGGTCGGCTGCCTCTGTATTTTCTGATGCTTTTGTTATAGTCTTTTCGAACTTCTCTCAAAATAATTTAATTTCACAGCAGTTATACTTTCCACAAAAATATTGCTGTAGGTACTAATTTTATGGGAGCTGTTTAGCTACCTATTTTAGGTATCATTTTTAGGTAATCCTCTAAGTTATGTGTAAATAGTACGTATTTAGAGGCGATCTTTTGCGGGTTTTTGGTTGAAATAAGTAAAATTTTAAAATATTTAGTTATGTCTAAGTTTTACTGCGGTTCAGTTCAGATTCATAAATCTGAAATGATTTGCTAATTTTTCAACTTTAATTTCAAAATTAATATTATAGATTTATAGAAGATAGTTATAGAAGAAGAAGAAGAAATAGAATTTGCATCTAAACTCGTTCACATTTAATCTATAATCTTATAAATACTTTCCTGATTACGTTGTGTTTGTAAGGTATGTATTGGTGGGAGAAGAAAGAAGGATTATCCGCTGTCTTGTAAAACTAAGGAAATCTGTTATCGACCAGCTGTTTGGTAAGTTTCCTTATTCTTAACAAGAAATTCCTATACGGAAACTGACGGTGACTGACTGTAAAGTCATTCGCAGCAATTTAAAAATTATTTCTACGATATTTTATTTAGTTTTTGAAAAACTGTGACGCCATAGATGGCAAAACTTTAGTCTTGTGGTCTAAATTAGTCCAAGATATCACAATTCAAAAAACATTTAACAAGCAGCATAAAAAAATAAAAACTGAATGTTGCAAATTATACACTAGTTTCAGGTAACATACAACTATCACGTTATATCAATAAAAGAGGCAGTTAGGCGCGCGTATAAAACTTATTGCAACAGATAAATTTAAAAAAACTAAGAAATAACTTTTTTCTGGGGATTTTATTTAAAAAATGTCATCAATTTCAATCACACATGCCACTGCCATATTTCAAAAACAAACTTCAAGTTGATATTCTAAAAATGTAAACATTGATGCCAGGTTCAAATACCTGGTAATGTAGATATCAATTATCCGTTTTGTATTTGGTGTAGATAGTTTTATTTCAACCTAATTTACATTACTATTTCTGGATATTTGTAAATGTTTTTAAGAAGTTTTTGACCTACAGCCATTTTCCAGGAATTTGCCATATAATAAGTTATTATTGATGTTTTTTTATAAAATTTATTTTATAAGAACTGTCGCTCTCAATGCATTTTCTAAAGTTTCGTCAGATTAAGTCTTACAATTCCTTGTCCCAAACTGTTTTCTATAATTTTGAGGCATATTGCAAGTTATTCATTTTCCGACATAAAAATATTTAAAATGTTTAAAAAAAAAATAATTTAAAACGAAACTTATTAGTTAGCGTTTTAGATAAAATAACTGAGCGTTTTATATCCAAATTTCAAATAATTCCATACGTAAATAACCCTTGCACAAACGAAGTTATCCAACCAAAATGTAGCCTTCCAGCGATCCACAAAAATACCGCCAATTTAGACAAAAGTTTATATTATTTAGCAAAGAAATGGATGCACATACACCGAGCTACAGGGAGATGCTACCGATAAATAATCTCGTAGTTGAAGATGGTTAGTCTAAGGTGGTTGTAAAATTATAATGATAGCATATAT